CATGAACGAAAACATTTTGTAACATGATATTGATGTACCATTTTCATGGTAATGCAGTGTTTGATTTTAAAATGGGTTTCAAAGGATGAATGTTGAGATTTAACGTTTTCAATTGATATATAATTTCTGCTGATTTCTAAAGTGTGATTTAGAAGACTTTTTTTGACAAAGGTCAGAACTCCTGTTATGATGTAGATTTTTGAGGCGCACTCTTGTCATAAATTAATCTATTAATTTCCTACATAGATATTTTACCAATGTTTTTGGTAAAAATTATTTAGGAGTCTTAGACCTTTCCAACAATATATAGTTTGTCATGATTAGATTAGAATTTAATTGTAATATAGTGAAGTAAACTTAGGCGTCCCACAGAGGGGACGGGTGACAGTTAAAGGGTTAATAGCATCTGTATTTTTAGAGCAGGAATTGAATGACATCGATTGGGAAAAAGTGGGTTTCAAAGGATGAATGTTGAGATTTAACGTTTTCAATTGATATATAATTTCTGCTGATTTCTAAAGTGTGATTTAGAAGACTTTTTTTGACAAAGGTCAGAACTCCTGTTATGATGTAGATTTTTGAGGCGCACTCTTGTCATAAATTAATCTATTAATTTCCTACATAGATATTTTACCAATGTTTTTGGTAAAAATTATTTAGGAGTCTTAGACCTTTCCAACAATATATAGTTTGTCATGATTAGATTAGAATTTAATTGTAATATAGTGAAGTAAACTTAGGCGTCCCACAGAGGGGACGGGTGACAGTTAAAGGGTTAATAGCATCTGTTATTAGAGCAGGAATTGAATGACATCGATTGGGAAAAAGTGAGGGTTCTGTCGGTCTTCTAAAGTTTAAAAGAAAGTAAAAATACATTTTAAATTATACATCGTTGCATTGATACACATTGCTCTTCAAACTGAGGATTTGTTTTGGTCTTGTAGGCTAATTATCCTACGACACCCAAGGACAATATATTAGTTATCTTCTATTTTATGAGCATTCATGTCTCTTTGGTATTTGGGGATGTATTTCAAGTTTAATTCAATTCAAGTTTATTTGTACAGCGCTTTTCACGACAACATGTAAATCATTGCAAAGCAACTTTACAGCAAATTATGTAAATATAATTGACAGTATTTATTGGTTTTGAAACAGTAAATATATATTTTTTGTTTGCTTAATCTTGTAATTATAAGAGATTTAGGGGGGGAATTCTGGATATGGTCAATTGCGTGATTCCTGATGTCTCTTTTGGAAATGTAATTCTTGGTTTTATAGGTTATAAAACAGGAAATACGTTTTTATTTTATTACTTTCTGCCTGCTAAACATTTTAGTCATACATGTTTCAACTTATTTTATGCAATTTACACAGATTTGATTAATTATTGCTATTTTACATATAAGCTATTGCTCTCTGAAATTAATAATAATGCAAAAATCTAAAAATGAGTAAAACAATATACATTACTGGTATAATCATAATAAAACCAACTTTATATTTTATACAGATTTCATTAATTATTTGCACTTTCCATAAGCTATTGGTCTCTGAAACGGGAAAAAACAAAATCTAAATGTTAAAAAATGTTTAATAACATTTAAAACAATAGTATATTATTGGTATATTCATAACAGTACTAGCTTTTGTGTGGATAATTTGGCATTTGCCAATTAAACTAGAAAACTAATACCTATAGGTTATTATTGGTGTAATATATAATATATTACACTGATATACATCATTCCCGAAAGTGTTTTATTCTGAAATTGTGACCCTGGAGCACAAAACCAGTCATAAGTAGCACAGGTATATTTGTAGCAACAGCCAACAATACATTGTATGGGTCAAAATGATCGCTTTTTAATTTATGCCAAAAATCATTAGGATATTAAGTAAAGATCATGTTCCATGAAGATATTTTGCAAATGTCCTACCGTAAATATATCAAAACTTAATTTTTGATTAGTAATATGCATTGCTAAGAACTTCATTTGGACAAATTTAAAGATGATTTTCTCAATATTTTGATTTTTTTGCACCCTCTCAGATTTTCAAATAGTTGTATCTCAGACAAATATTGTCCTATCATAACAAACCATACATCAACGGAAAGCTTATTTATTCACACTTTCAGGTGATGTATGAATCTCAATTTCAGAAAAGTTGACCCTTATGACTGGTTTTGTGCTCCAGGGTCAAATCTAACGCTCGTGCGCCGGCGCTTCTCTCCTGTTTATCGCCCCCTAAATGTTTTTTTCCCGTGATGCTCCGCGTGGTCGAGAAGCAAGATGGCGGACGCTCTGGATGAATTTAAGAAAGAAACTGGATGCGTCCCGATCCTCCATCCCGAGGTAAAAATCCATCCTTTATCCAGCTGCATCACGGCAGCGATCCTAAATGAAGCCGGGGTGTTTTCACGGCAGTAAAAGCGTTATTTCTCCCGCTAACTTCTCAGAATGAAGGAGAGGGGCTAAATCCCCCCCACTGCTGCGTAATAGCATTGCTGCTAACGCTAGCCTTTCATATTCATAGATTATATTTGTAGTTGTCGTTTTATCGCATGTCTAATCTCGTATTTTAAGGCAGAGGTGTGTTTTTATTCCATATTGTGCAGTGACAAACGTGACATTAGCATATTTGTGCAAGTATCCACAGTGTGTTGCACATCTAAATGACAGACACCATTCACAAACACCACCATCATTTGCATTCATTTACCCTCAGATTTAAACATTGACTGTGCTATATTGTTTTATTAATATGCCTTTAGTACACTCTAGAAGTCTGTCTGAGTGCGTTTGATTGCATTTTGGTGAAATTGATATAATGTCAGATCTGTTTCTGGTCTGTCAGTTATATGCAGGCTCTTATATTTTCACTAATATATTAATAGATAAATGTTATTACCAGTGCTGCGATGGGTAATTTACATATTCCCGATTCATTTCCGACTTTGCATTGACAGGATGTGTTGATGTAGGGAAGTTTTTCATGAAACATATAATTCTTGCAGATGTATAGTTTTATATGTGCAGTAGATGATTAATAAACTGGACACCTCCTCTGAGGTTAATTACTAAATTATAACATGACACCTCAAAAATTCATTCAATTAAAATTAATTGCATTCATTTTCACACTTCTTTATTGTGAGCCCAGAGTTGAGCTCAGTGCTGGTGTGTGTAGTGAGACAGCTTGCTCATATGGGACCTCCTGCTGTAAATTATTCATGCTCAGGCAGACTGATATATATATATAGTAAATAGTTTTTAAAGTATAGTTTAAGTGTATATAATAAAAATGACAAAACCACACAGCAAAACTGCTAAAACTTTTACTGCAGATGTATAGTTTTATATGTGCAGTAGATGATTAATAAACTGGACACCTCCTCTGAGGTTAATTACTAAATTATAACATGACACCTCAAAAATTCATTCAATTAAAATTAATTGCATTCATTTTCACACTTCTTTATTGTGAGCCCAGAGTTGAGCTCAGTGCTGGTGTGTGTAGTGAGACAGCTTGCTCATATGGGACCTCCTGCTGTAAATTATTCATGCTCAGGCAGACTGACCATAGAGCTGATCACACACATGTAGTTTGAGTGAATGAAAACATCAGCCTTGGCTTGCAGTCAAACTAACACACGCTGACCTGTTGGACTGAAAGGAAGATCTCAGCAGACCTTTTTATTGCAAAGTTTATCATAGTTATGTACAATATATTAATATTATGTGGTCAACCAATATGTTTTTTTAAATGACCAATGCTTATATTACTGATATCTGCAGAGCATGGTGGCAAAGGCTGGCATAATACAATTTAATAACAGAAGCGAATGCTTATATTGCACAATATTTGCTCACAATTTGCTGAAGACAGTGTTATGTTATGCAAATGACTTGCTGGTTGATTTAGAGGCTAGAACATGAAACCATGATAGAGATGGTGTTTTGCATGTGGCCGTTTGAGATGAATAGCTCAGCTGTCCTCATAATTTGGTTTGTGATGGATTATCAAAAGGTTATATTATAATGTGGAGCATTGTTCCAGTTGCTCTTTTGCTGATTGTGGAAAAAATGTGGGACTTGAAGTAAAACCTATGATAAATTCATATTGGAAGCAGCATTTGTAAACTTAATTCAGAAAAAAAATAAATAAAATAAAATAACCTTAAACCTGTTTTACTTCAGCTAGTTACCAAGGAAACATTTCTCATTTTCATTAACTTGTAGTAAAAAAATAAATAAAGATTAATGAAAACATAAAAACATAGACATATTTAAAAAGAGAGTA